CTAAGAAAGGAAGCAGAACTTGGTCCGTGAGAAACTGGGGAGGAATCTAACAGAGCTGAACCCAGCCATCCACAGAAGGATACAGCACATACATGCACATCACTATCATTTCGAAACACATTATATCTCCAATTTGGCCAGTAAATATTCATTATGTATGTTAAGTTGCATAATATATGTAAGTCATGTATAGCTTTTTAAGTATGTATGTATGGTTTTATATATATAGAGTGTGTAGTTCCAATATTTTACACAACTATAGATTTTCATCATCATTGCAATGATTATCATATAAAAGTTCAAAGAACACTTATTATAGAAGTGGGTATAGAGTCCATTCCGCGTCATCGTGTGGGTTTTTTCTCCATGTTTGTAATACTTTTAAATTATTTAGAAGAAAAGAACAGCACAGTAACAAAAGTTATAAATGTTTCAAAAATTTGAAAACAAAAATTTGAATATATTTGAATTCATTTAGATATTTCTGAAACATTTTGTAAGTGGCTATACAAAGATCTCTTTATTTAGAACAAATTTGAACTACCCATGTGTTTCTTTCACTATTCGAAATATTTAGAAATATTTCTAACAAATAACCAAATGGTAGATGTGGGTATTGCCCCCATAAAAGTAGGTGATAATCCGACTCTTTTGTCTTCTTCTGTATATTTTTAGATTTCACTGCTGGACACTGGTGGCTCTATTGTTGTAAGGCATCAATGCCTAGCACCCAGGCAGTCTACCCTGTACTTCACAGGGATGTGTGAATTACTTCCTTCCCATCCCACTGACCTATTTACAAAATGTTAGAAATAATTCGAAATAATGGTACAAAATGGCAGAGTGCTGTTAGAAATATTTAGAAACTATTGGAAATGTCATAATCCACATCAGGAATATTTCAAACAATTTACAAAACCAGGGAATTATTTAGAATGTTGAAAAGATATTCATTTCCAAATTATGAAATATCTTAGACAAACAATAACAAAGAATTCAAAACATTTCTAAATAATGACAATAACAACCCACACGGTGACGCGGAATTGACTCTAATTGACTGGCTCGGCAATCAAAAGAACAAAGTAAAACCCAACAAAACTGGCTTGATATATGTCTTATGTACTGTAGTATAAAGACTAAAGTGTACTATAGAAATTGGTTCTTCATATCATTGTATGTCATTTCATTATATGTATATGATATACGTACTTACAATGAGCCTTCTGTCATGTATTTGTAATAATAATAAACTTATTATCATTATTATTTCAGCATACGTCCTGTTTCCTATTTACAAAAAGGTAATAAGGTTGTGAGACGAGCTCAACAAAGTCGTTTGTAATTAAAGCTGTCAAAAAGACTTGAAGTTTACTTGCAGTCTGCAGAGGATGTCATTGATTAAAGTTACATGCTGTGGCCTAATTGCAAACATGGTAAGAGTGTGTGCTGAGTGTGTAATATATACTAGTATCTCCTATACATGTACATGCCACTACAAGACTAGTCTATGGTAATGATCTTTGAGTGGCAGACCGGTAGATTTTAAACTTGGCCTTACAAGGGCAAAAAACATTCAAATTCCTCAGTTATAACGTTAATGTTACTCTATAACAACAGTACATAAAAGTCAGTAATATAAGCAAAATATCCTTCTACCCATCATTTCCTATAAATAAAGGTATAACGCTAAATCGTAGGCAAGACCATCCGGAGGTATACATATTGCATTTCCTTGCAAATGTTACCTTTCTAGTCTTGATCTTAGATCTTAACTTTTGCCCCATTCAGCTTTCTTTAGAACCACAGCTGTATGCTTTGGCAAGAATAAAGGAACAGATAAGGAGATAGACTAACACATCATGCCTATCATCTAACCATTTAGGAAAGGTGCCTTTTGCCATTAGTGCTACCATTTTTGATATTTTGTCAAAGATTTCGCTAATAATGACTACGATATCATCCTTGCAAGGGCCTGTGGTCCTTTACTTATGGAATGTTACTTGCTGTTTTGTCACTCAGCCTCCATGCCTCACACCCCAATACAACAGATCTCGGGATAAACATCATTCATCAAGTTTGCGGGATTTCCCGCGGGAGTTTGCGGGATATCACGCGGGAGTTTGAGGGATCTCCTGCGGGAGTTTGCGGGATCTCCTGCGGGAGTTTGCGGGATCTCCTGCTGGATTTATCGGGATATCCCGCGGTAAGCAAATCCTCTCCCGCAACCCCGATCTTCGGTGTGAGACCTTAGGTTTCCGAGGGGCCGGCGCCGCTGTTACTGGAACCACGTTGACTACAGATTTTTACGCGTGCATGTTTTAGTATGTTTTCAATGCATGCAAATAACAGTAGAGCAAATAGCTAGTGTTTTTAACCAAACAATTTTTTTCAATATCGGAAATCTGGTGGCTTAGTAAGGTACAGAACGATAACAAAGTAATTCAACCTTCTTGAATAATTTTTGTGTCCGACCTTGCGACGTGGACGGCTTTTGATGTCACCCGACCCGCGCAAGCTCAGACCAAGGAGGTTAAATTTAACCTCCTTGCTCAGACTCTGTCGAATAAAAAAATCTAACATATCGACGTGATATGTAGGGGGGGGGTGACGTACGGAGTTACGGAAGAGATCTTAAAACATTGTGTAAAACAAGGGGGCGAAGCATAATTAAGGGTCTTTACGTCTCAACTTTTGATACATTTTCGTGCGCCAAGCAGTGTTGAGGGCCAGCATGGGGTAGTGATTACGAATTGCGCAAAATCTGCGCTATAAAGTTTAAGTTTCAGAGCTGATTACGACTTTACTCTTTGCGGCTAATGTACTGATTACGAATTACGTTGATTTTACGGAAGGCTGCTTACGGTTTGCGAAGAGTATTAATAAAAACCAAGGAGGTTAAATACAAAATCAGGAGATTAAATACCTATGAGAATACCTCAACAACTACAAGATCATGAAACACAACAACCACAAACTACTGCCGGTATGCCCCATAATTTTTAATTTCTTGGTAACAATCTTGCCCAAAAATTCACCGGAGACGAAGTGATTACTACACGACATTGTATTCATTCACGGTACTTTCTTAAAGTTTGCGCTGAACAGTAGCTTTGTAAAAATAATGTAGCAGATAACTATGACCGCGTGAGGAACACCTTATACATATTATTTTCGTACATTCCTGTGCTTCACCACTATAAAAATTGTAGCAAAGACTAAGTTGACTGGCGTCAGACTCCATCGGCCCGGCACAGCTCGCCCGGCAGGACGTAAAAATAAACATTTGGCACGCCGCCATCGGCGTTCGGAGCCGCGGTAGACTTGGGGGTCTCGCTCCAAGTTTTTTTCGCTACGCGATACGCGGGACACGATAGGTGTCATGAAAGAATACCGCGGGATATCCCGCAAACTCCCGCAGGATATCCCGCAAATTCAAACTCCCGCACGTTTATACCGCAATCTCCCGCGTGATATCCCGCAATCTCCCGCGTGATATCCCGCAATCTCCCGCGTGATATCTCGCAAACTCCCGCGGGAGATCCCGCAAAATCCCGAATCCCGATGATGCTTATCCCGCGATCTGTACTATGTTATATCCCGATCCCCGACGTGAGCCAGTTTTCCCGGGAGGCCCAGGATAACCCCTTGGCCCAGGTTGCCCTCTCCACCCAGGAGGGCCCTTTGGCCCAGGAGGCCCACTCCCCCCACGAGAACCCTTTGGCCCAGGTGGCCCTGTCCAACCAGGAGAACCCTTTTGGCCCAGGTGGCCCGGCCTCCCCAGGAGAGCCCACGGCTCCAGGTGGCCCATCTTTTCCTTTGGACCCAGCTGTTCCTTTCGGCCCGGCCCGCCCACGTGTCCCATTCTTGCCGGGAGGCCCCACTGGCCCGATCTGCCCGGGTGACCCAGGTTTCCCGGGAGAGCCCTCGAGTCCCTTCTGCCCCGGTGGCCCAGTCTTCCCGGGAGAGCCCTCCGGCCCGATCGACCCAGGTGCCCCAGCCTTCCCAGGAGGCCCCAGTGGCCCCATAGACCCAGGGGGCCCCACCGGTCCGATAGACCCAGGTGACCCATCCTTTCCAGGGGATCCAGCTGTTCCCTTCGGTCCGCGTGGTCCAACAGCGAAAGCTGCAGCAAACATAGACAGACGAACGTTAAGTATCTTCTTTGGGTTGAGGAGGCCAACGTCAGCATAATGATGAATCTGCCTCGCTATATAGCATAACATTAATAACTACCATAACATTACGTAACATAACATAACATAACATAACATAACATAACATAACATAACATAACATAACATAACATAACATAACATAACATTAATGTATGACAACATTAATAGCTAGAGTTCCACGATCTAATACCTTCTACAAATAATCTTCAGACAGCAATTCTAGCACTTTCTCGTGTATTATTTGATTTGCATGATTTCTGACTTTGTGTCACAAGTGTAAAATCCTCCTCATTCAGCACTATGGTATTATGACATTTTCTCATAATTATGCAAAGTG